ATAACTTTAAGCCTACAAAAGACCAAAGAAGCCTGGTTTAATGAAAGGTCAAAAGGCTACCCTCTCCTTGTGTTCTTGCAGACATACCCATTGCGTTACCTCCCACCCATCCTACGCAGACTTTAAACAATTTTACATAGGGAAAATAGGGTACCATTTGGAACACACCCCCTTATGTACCTGATCTGCAACAACTAGTACTTTAAATACATAATAAACACAGTCCCTCCCTCCTTCAGTCTGAAAGGTTCATGTTGAAAAATAAACAAACCCTTTTTATTCATCAAAATTTACATTTATATACATGACTATGTCAGATCTGTAAATGTTAAGCCTTAACAAATATATAATTTAATTAAAGCAGTTTAAAAATGAAACATTTGAACCACTTGTTGGTTGATATAAGTGAAATAAATAGTATGTACATGATGGACAAAGCACTCAGTAGTAAAAAAATAAATAAAAAAACCTCTGGTTGGGCAAGTTTCAATAGAAGCCACTTCTTTAATGTGGGTGTCCACAAAGTTGAGGGAGAGATTTGAACGCCATCCGCTCTCTTGCTCTATCGTCCTTTTCATGCAGTTTGTTGACCCAAAGGCCGGGCTGATATGTCATCCAACCGTCGTCAAGGAGCCACATCAAAGATACAGAAAATGTTACCAGATCCCTTTTATAATGCTTCCTGGTACGGCCTGTCCCCCCCACATCTCAGAGACTGCACAGGTGCAGGTGTTAAGTGCATACAGTTGAAGTCGGAAGTTTACATACATTTAGGTTGGAGTCATTAAAACTCGTTTTTCAACCACTCCACAAATGTCTTGTTAACAAACTATAGTTTTGGCAAGTCGGTTAGGACATCTACTTTGTGCATGACACAAGTCATTTTTCCAACAATTGTTTACAGACAGATTATTTCACTTATAATTCACTGTATCACAATTCCAGTGGGTCAGAAGTTTACATACACTAAGTTGACTGTGCCTTTAAACAGCTTGGAAAATTCCAGAAAATGATGTCATGACTTTAGAAGCTTCTGATAGGCTAATTGATATCATTTGAGTCAATTGGAGGTGTACCTGTGGATGTATTTCAAGGCCTACCTTCAAACTCAGTGCCTCTTTGCTTGACATCATGGGAAAATCAAAAGAAATCAGCCAAGACCTCAGAGAAAAAATTGTTGACCTCCACAAGTCTGGTTCATCCTTGGGAGCAATTTCCAAATGCCTGAAGGTACCACGTTCATCTGTACAAACAATAGTACGCAAGTATAAACACCATGGTACCACGCAGCCATCATACCGCTCAGGAAGGAGACGCGTTCTGTCTCTTAGAGATGAACGTACATTGGTGCGAAAAGTGCAAATCAATCCCAGAACAACAGCAAAGGACCTTGTGAAGATGCTGGAGGAAACAGGTACAAAAGTATCTATATCCACAGTAAAACGAGTCCTATATCGACATAACCTGAAAGGCCGCTCAGCAAGGCAGAAGCCACTGCTCCAAAACCGCCATTAAAAAGCCAGACTACGGTTTGCAACTGCACATGGGGACAAAGATTGTACTTTTTGGAGAAATGTCCTCTGGTCTGATGAAACAAAAATAGAACTGTTTGGCCATAATGGCCATCGTTATGTTTGGAGGAAAAAGGGGGATGCATTGCAAGCCGAAGAACACCATCCCAACCGTGAAGCACGGGGGTGGCAGCATCATGCTGTGGGAGTGCTTTGCTGCAGGAGGGACTGGTGCACTTCACAAAATAGATGGCATCATGAGGAAGGACAATTATGTGGATATATTGAAGCAACATCTCAAGACATCAGTCAGGAAGTTAAAGCTTGGTCGTAAATGGGTCTTCCAAATGGACAATGACCCCAAGCATACATCCAAAGTTGTGGCAAAATGGCTTAAGGACAACAAAGTCAAGGTACTGGAGTGGCCATCACAAAGCCCTGACCTCAATCCTATATAAAATGTGAAGCCAGAACTGAAAAATCGTGTGCGAGCAAGGAGGCCTACAAACCTGACTCAGTTACACCAGCTCTGTCAGGAGGAATGGGCCAAAATTCACCAAACTTATTGTGGGAAGCTTGTGGAAGGCTACCCGAAACGTTTGACCCAAGTTAAACAATTTAAAGGCAATGTTACCAAATACTAATTGGGTTTATGTAACTGACCCACTGGGAATGTGATGAAAGAAATACAAGCTTAAATAAATCATTCTCTCTACTATTATTCTGACATTTCACATTCTTAAAATAAAGTGGTGATCCTAACTGATCGAAGACAGGGAATTTTTACTAGGATTAAATGTTAGGAATTGTGAAAACTGAGTTTAGATGTATTTGGCTAAGGTGTATGTAAACTTCAGACTTCAACTGTATATACATTTACATTTTAGTCATTTAGCAGATGCTCTTATCCAGAGCAACTTACAGTTAGTGAGTGCATACATTGGTGCATATACATAACCATTTCAGGCAAAATATCAATCAATCAATCAATTTTATTTTATATAGCCCTTCTTACATCAGCTAATATCTCGAAGTGCTGTACAGAAACCCAGCCTAAAACCCCAAACAGCTAGTAATGCAGGTGTAGAAGCACGGTGGCTAGGAAAAACTCCCTAGAAAGGCGAAAACCTAGGAAGAAACCTAGAGAGGAACCAGGCTATGAGGGGTGGCCAGTCCTCTTCTGGCTGTGCCGGGTGGAGATTATAACAGAACCATGCCAAGATGTTCAAAAATGTTCATAAGTGACAAGCATGGTCAAATAATAATCAGGAATAAATCTCAGTTGGCTTTTCATAGCCGATCATTAAGAGTTTGAAAACAGCAGGTCTGGGACAGGTAGGGGTTCCATAACCGCAGGCAGAACAGTTTAAACTGGAATAGCAGCAAGGCCAGGCGGACTGGGGACAGCAAGGAGTCACCACGGCCGGTAGTCCCGACGTATGGTCCTAGGGCTCAGGTCTCTCAGTTGGCTTTTCATAGCCGATCATTAAGAGTTGAAAACAGCAGGTCTGGGACAGGTAGGGGTTTCGTAGCCGCAGGCAGAACAGTTGAAACTGGAATAGCAGCAAGGCCAGGCGGACTGGGGACAGCAAGGTGTCATCATGCCCGGTAGTCCTGACGTATGGTCCTAGGGCTCAGGTTCTCAGAGAGAAAGAGAGAACGAGAGAATTAGAGAGAGCATACTTAAATTCACACAGGACACTGGATAAGACAGGAGAAGTACTCCAGGTATAACCAACTAACCCCAGCCCCCCGACACATAAACTACTGCAGCATAAATACTGGAGGCTGAGACATTGTGACACGGCACAATGCGTTCAAACCTCCCACCTCGTCCAAAACCTTCTAGTTGACCTACTCACCACACATTGAAAGGCCATGAATGGACGGAAAGATCAGGGGTCAGTCCAGTCAGTGTCTGACCACCATAAAAACTATTTCCCAGAGTGGGGAAAGTTACAGTCTGAACAGTTTGATGGTAGGGGAGTGTACATTTACATTTACGTCATTTAGCAGACGCTCTTATCCAGAGCGACTTACAAATTGGTGCATTCACCTTATAGCCAGTGGGATAACCACTTTACAAAGTTTTTTTTTTTTTTTTGGAGGGGGTGGGGTGGGGTAAGGGGGGGTAGAATGATTACTTTATCCTATCCCAGGTATTCCTTAAAGAGGTGGGGTTTCAAATGTCTCCGGAAGGTGGTGAGTGACTCCGCTGTCCTAGCGTCGTGAGGGTGCTTGTTCCACCATTGGGGTGCCAGAGTAGCGAACAGTTTTGACTGGGCTGAGCGGGAACTGTGCTTCCGCAGAGGTAGGGGAGCCAGCAGGCCAGAGGTGGATGAACGCAATGCCCTCGTTTGGGTGTAGGGATTGATCAGAGCCTAAAGGTACGGAGGTGCCGTTCCCCTCACAGCTCCGTAGGCAAGCACCATGGTCTTGTAGCAGATGTGAGCTTCAACTGGAAGCCAGTGGAGTGTGCGGAGGAGCGGGGTGACGTGAGAGAACTTGGGAAGGTTGAACACCAGACGGGCTGCGGCATGTTGTAGGGGTTTAATGGCACAGGCAGGGAGCCCAGCCAACAGCGAGTTGCAGTAATCCAGACGGGAGATGACAAGTGCCTGGATTAGGACCTGTGCCGCTTCCTGTGTAAGGCAGGGTCGTACTCTCCGAATGTTGTAGAGCATGAACCTACAGGATCGGGTCACCGCCTTGATGTTAGCGGAGAACGACAGGGTGTTGTCCAGGGTCACGCCAAGGCTCTTCGCACTCTGGGAGGAGGACACAACGGAGTTGTCAACCGTGATGGCGAGATCATGGAACGGGCAGTCCTTCCCCGGGAGGAAGAGCAGCTCCGTCTTGCCAAGGTTCAGCTTGAGGTGGTGATCCGTCATCCATACTGATATGTCTGCCAGACATGCAGAGATGCGATTCGCCACCTGGTTATCAGAAGGGGGAAAGGTGTAGCGGGTGATTTTGGACGGAGTCAGGCGCAGGAGGGTAAATCACAGAATAAATTGTTTATTCGGCAATACAGCGGTACGCGTCAATGCGTAAAACAGTCCAGTGCAGTAAAACGGTGCACTGGAGAAAACAAGGCAAACGGGTGAATATCCCGGCGATACACAATACAATAGAGCTCCACCGAGCTGTAGTCACTTCCACAATCAACAATCACACACAAAGACAAGGGGGCAGAGGGAACACTTATACAGGTACTGATGAGGGGATATGACCAGGTGTGTGTAATAAACAAGACAAAACAAATGGAATGATGAGATGAGGAGCGGCAGTGGCTAGAAGGCCGGTGACGACGAACGCCGAAGCCTGCCCGAACAAGGAGAGGAGGCAGCTTCGGAGGAAGTCGTGACAGGGAGAGCGGGGAAAGTTAGTCTGAACAGTTTGACAATTGTAAACTATCTTTATTCAAAGGCTAAGTGCTTGTGTCTCCACATCTCCCCTTCAGTCTCTCCCTCCCTCCCCCTCTACCTTTGGCGAGCTCAGTCCAGGTGAAGGTATCAGTCTCCAGCTCTGTCTTGACGTACATGACGTAGGTCTTCCCCTCTGCATCAGGGATGAGTCCTCACATGGGTTCTTATTGTGGCCCAGCACCTCAGCCTCCCTGAGCACAACAGACAGAATAACAGTTATATTAGACATCCCACCTCAGCCTCCCTGAGCACAACAGACAGAATAACAGTTATATTAGACACACATTGATTTGTTTAACACTTTTTTGGTTACTACATGATTCCATATGTGTTATTTCATAGTTTTGATGTCTTCACTATTATTCTACAATGCAGAAAATAGTTTTAAAAAATGAAAAACCCTTGAATGAGTAGGTGTTCTAAAACTTTGGACCGGTAGTGTACATCAGATACATTCTCACTCACTTCAGTAAGTTCCCAATCTCCAGCTCATAGGCATCTTTTTTCGAGCCATCTACATTCTTCATCTGGACGTTAGGTACCGTGTTGAGCCTGGGCTTCTTGAAATACACTTCCTATAGGGGATGAAACACTCGGACAGGTAAGACTAACACAATCAGCCTTTAATACAGTCCGTTCAGGCTATATAACATTGTCTTCCGACAGATGGCATCATCCTAACTCGACCCCGTTGCCATCAGCGCAGACAGAGTCGTCGCGCTCTGAAGGTAAGACAATGGGCTTTATGATTGACCCTGTGCTAGTAGTGAAGAAGAGGGCCTTACGTGGAATTAGCCGTTCATGTTGAGCTCGATGATGCCAATGTGGTAGGAGCAGGACACGTTAAGGATGATACACTCTCTGCCTTTCCTCTGCTCTGGCATACGCATCCACATGTCCCAGTCCCACAGCTACACAGACACTGAAAAAATATTAGTTTCAGAAACACACATGTTATCATTACACAATGAATATTGAGTGATAGAAACACCCACACCTTCTCAGGCGTCAGGTCATACTTGTAGAGGCTCTTCTTCAGCACCCAGCCAAGGCCACTCTGTGGAGCAGAGCCGGGTCCTCCGCTGTGTTCATAGCCCTGTTGTAACACATACACTACATAAGCACACTCTCCACTGTAGAGCAGGGCGGGTTCCTCTGCTGTGTGCTCATAATCCTGCACAGCAGAATTACAACAGATTTTACATAAGCACATAATTTCCACACATTACAGCAACGAAGGGAAAGTGTTTAAGGGTGTAGAGGTGTTAAAGTGAGAGGTGGAGACAGGACACGGACTGACCTGGTCGTTCCAGGCTGAGATGCAGTACAGGCTGTCATCCTCGTTCAGGTCTGGCTCAGGAAACTGGACAGCATCAACAACAATAAACATGATGTCACCACCAGAACAGCATCAGTTCACCAACAATACTTGGATAGCTTAATTTCATGCTGGAAATCTTTAAAGTTAATTCAAGACTATGTTACTCTACTATAATACATTCCATTCCTGTAAGGTGACAATTGAACTTGGCTATCTACCTCTACCAGTTCTTGCTGGTCTTTCCCTGTTTGTACACAGCTTTGATTTGTCTGATTCCTAGTTGATTGGCTAAATGTCATTTCAAAAGGGCATGTTTGCGAGGGTAAACACGCATTGAAATCAGTCGGCCCAATCGTCCAAATGTTTCTAAAGCATTTGATGTCATTAGTTTATAGAGGACAGAGAGCACAACTGGAGAAGTAGTACCTGTTCAACAGTAAATACATTGAAGGCTTGGGGCACACAATGGAGAATGAGTGTCCCAGTGAGTTACAACAGCAGGAAGCATGTGGATCTGCTGCCCCCTTCTGGTCATTCATGGTATTATTCATACTAAAGCACATGCTTGGCTACATTCAACTCATTGAAGATCTTCCAATTATCTTTACTCTGAGATTGAAGAAACACAGACAGTTATTTTGAGGACATATTCTACATATATATATGTACCCCTCTATATGTTGTATAGTTAAAGCTTCCATCAATCTAAAACTATAGGCATCTTACCTGAATAAATCTATGGAGATATCCAGGTCTTCCTCCAGGCCTATGGCAAAGTTGGTATCCTGCAAATCAACCATATATCAACCACATAACAACCACATACTGTAACAACCACATAACAACCACATAACCAGGTGGAGGTAGACGGAAAGATGAAAATACTCAATGGGTGTAGGTTGAAGGTTGCAGTCAGACTGGCTTTGTAGTGCTGAGAGAGGAGAAAGAGGTGGTAGTGAGTGGTTGAGTGATACCAAAACACTGTGCATTACAACACAACATTGCCATTAATTGTGTTGTTGGTTGGTGTCTGACAGGAGTTCATGTTATATAAACCAGTCCTTATGATATTGCTGCTTTGCTGAAACAGTCCGTCTCATAGAGAAAATAAGTTATTTCTAGTTGACTAATGACAGTGTTTCAGTTGGTCTGTGTCTCTGATGGCGGCTGCTCGGAGGGTGAGGAGTGTGTTGGCTGACCGACATCTCACATGTGATACTCTGGCATTCTTGATGCTGATGGGAGTGTGTTGAACCCCCTTCAGTCCAAACAGCTCCACCACATCCATGGGCTCCTGTACACACACACAAACAACTTTAAGCGCAAGACATGCACTGAATGGAATGAACTATGGTGGATGTGTAACTAGGCCAGCCCAGTACAGCTTGGCTCAGTAGTGTAAAAAGGGTAACCGAATAGTGAAATCCCTACTTACAGTGGTGCTGTCCACTGCCATGTAGAGTCCACTGCCACGTAGAGTTCACTGCCACGTAGAGTCCACTGCCACGTAGAGTCCACTGCCACGTAGAGTCCACTGCCACGTAGAGTCCACTGCCACGTAGAGTCCACTGCCACGTAGAGTCCACTGCCACGTAGAGTCCACTGCCACGTGAGTCCACTGCCACGTAGAGTCCACTGCCACGTAGAGTCCACTGCCACGTAGAGTCCACTGCCACGTAGAGTCCACTGCCACGTAGAGTCCACTGCCACGTAGAGTCCACTGCCACGTAGAGTCCACTGCCACGTAGAGTCCACTGCCACGTAGAGTCCACTGCCACGTAGAGTCCACTGCCACGTAGAGTCCACTGCCACGTAGAGTCCACTGCCACGTAGAGTCCACTGCCACCGTAGAGTCCACTGCCACGTAGAGTCCACTGCATGTAGAGTCCACGGCCACGTAGAGTCCACTGCCATGTAGAGTCCACTGCCCATGTAGAGTCCACTGCCACGTAGAGTCCACTGCCACGTAGAGTCCACTGCCACGTAGAGTCCACTGCCACGTAGAGTCCACTGCCATGTAGAGTCCACTGCCATGTAGAGTCCACTGCCATGTAGAGTCCACTGCCATGTAGAGTCCACTGCCATGTAGAGTCCACTGCCACGTAGACCTTGGAGTGGCTGGAGTACACCTCGATGTCCAGAATCTTCCTACCGCTTGCCAGCTTGCGCAGGGTCTCCATGTGGGCAGGGCGTCGTCTGGAAGGGAACAGAGAGGAGGTCAGCCATTTTGAATTGTGGAAACCTGTTTTATAAGTTGACTAAGACTGTGCATAACATTGCTCAGCTGTATGATTTTCATATGTCATCAACTTCTTAAGGCTATAGCTAGTGAGGAACAACTTTTGATATGCACAATGGAAATGTGTGAAACAAATGGTGGAAGAATGTTCAAGACTCACCATACTCCTGTACTGGCTCTTCCTCGTTGGCTACTCTTCTTGTGTCTAAGATTAGTTTGATATTCACAATGACAGTGACCTTGAATAACATAGAACCTTTCTGGCCTGTACAGAAGTAAAAGACAAGAAGTTGTTCTCAAAAGTATCCCAAATGTAGGCGAACCAAAGGTGACAGTGAATGCTCACCTGGCAGCGTTGCACGGATAACTCGCTTGTTAGTGAGTTTGTATTTCCAGGTTAGGTAGAGGCTCCGTTGTTGGCATGGAATGAACGGTTTCGCTCAAGGATTGGGTGTCCAGGTGTCCATCCCTGACTGTGGCACGAGACTGCAACCCCTCTCCTCCTCCTTATACCGAGCGCGTTACTACAATGCATATACCTACACAGCATCCAGGCAAGCTGATAACCAGTTAAAGTGATTAGTTGCAATCACCTCGTCATCTTGAAAGTAGATAGGGCAGAAGTTGAAGAATGCCGTAGCTAACTACCTAGTTTGTGTACTGCTAGCTAAACGGTTAGCGCTATCCGGGATCCTTGGGACATGCCTACCATACGTTTATAATTCTGTCTACCATACGTTTATGATTCTGTGAGAGGTAGTGTCAATAACAAACATAACATGGCAGGTAGTAGTAGTTAACACACCACTAATGAGCCAAGTGAACAAATGCAAGATCAACGAGAAGCACCACTGCAGGTTCATCACACCTATAGATATTTACTGTTAGCTACCTAACACGCTACTTACGTTAGCTAGCTTCACTCATTGCCACCTGGTTGTAGGATATACATCTGATTCATGGGCGGTGTGTTCAATAGGGCGATATGGGCGACGCACTGCCAAACGGGAAAAGGAAGGGATTTTTTTTCTAATCAATTATATCATGGCAACAGTAGTTCAGTGTTCACGTCTGATCTGCCAGCCACTAAATGTCCAATCAGGCTAAAGTCGTGCTTCAAATGTCCCCGCCCGTTTTGGGGCGATTTCAGTCAGGTTGAAAATCGCCCAGAAGTCTCTCATAGCCTCTAATGTAATTTTTTTTTTTTTCAAATTTCTGAGCTTTCAATACATTCTCTATGGGTGTCTGAGGGCTTGCACTTACGCGCTTTCGTCATACGTAACGTAACGTAACCATGAACGGCAGACAGCAACGCTTGGACAGCGACTGGTGTAACCGACATGCATGCACCATCTTTCAGAAAAGATTAAGAAAAATGAGCTGTCAAAGACCCACATTGATAGCTGTTTGAGATTGTCTGCTTTGGTGAGAGTGAATATTGCCACTCAACTGGATGAGGGATACAGGCTAGCTGTCCGCCGCCACAACGATGAGGTTAGCAACAGCAGAGTCGTGAACACTGTCTACGAGAATCGAGACGACCTCATAGAATGTTTTGAAGCCATCCGGACGGGTTCATTGGGTTCATTTGACCAGCCCACCGTACCAGAAGCTACAGAATAAGGACATCGATGCTGTCTTTATCAAACGTGCCCTCGACAGCTTCGCAAGCAGTGTGCAGGCCATAAGGTAAGATAAAGATTAAACAATATCATTCGATCTTTCTCAAAGCAGAGCTTTATTTGAAAATGTATGCATGAAAGGAGACTGCATTTGTGTTTGAAATTACATTATTGTCATTATATATGGCCAGTGGTGTAATCTATCTTATTTTATATACTATGTGTACTGTACAGTGGTGCTCATAAGTGTATGAACACATTCTAAAGCTGACTAAAAAGAGGAATACAAAAATTAAAAAATCATCTTTTGGAAATTGATCTTAATGACTTAATTAAAAAAGTTGGAAAATCCAACCTTTAAGGACACCAATTTTATTTTCTTTTTTATTCCTCTTTTTAGTCAACTTTAGCATGGGATCATAAGCTTATGAGCACCACTGTATACTGCGCTGAACATCCAGGCTATGTGAGACACAAAGGCTAACTTAAACACTAAAGACTTTATGCATCCCTGCCCATTTTAAGTGGAACTGAAGTATTTGTACTATACATGGATACATTGCATATACCTGTGCATCACATAGACAACAATACTGTACAAAGCCAACAAACACATTGGTCTGTTTGCCTTCAGGGACTCCTCTCAACAGCAGCTGCAAGAAGCAACAGGAGCCAAAAGACCCAGAACAGCTTTGAGAGAAGAGGAGAAGCAGAGGCTGTCTGAAGAGGTCTGCAACACCATCCTGGATCACACCAAAGAAAGGTTATCTTTCTCTGGCCACCTTGTGAGTGCTACCTTACTGCAAGCAGACATGTTTGAAAGGTACTGCCATTCAAAAAAATAAAAAATCTGTTCATGTTCATTTTTACAAATCTATACAATTGGCCAGAATATGGTTGTTCATATTTACAAATCTATACAATTGGCCAGAATATGGTTGTTCATTTTTACAAAGCCATACATATTGTTTATGCAGTGTTGAGGAATGTGAAAGAACACCCTTGATTATTTTTACTGTGATAACTTATTTTGCTTTTGTAAGCCAACACTTTTGAGATCAGTCAATAAATGCTTCTGGTATTGACTTATATGCTGCCCCTGTCTTCATGTTGTTGCTGGACATATCTTTTTAAAAATGTGTGTAGGTCACCTAAATCATCAGAAAAATTGCCCCTCCTGAGAATTTTTTCAGGAGCCGCCACTGATCTGATTGCATAAACAAATCAAGTTAAATTGTAGTAGCTATGTAGCTAGTAATAATTCAATACTTACGCCGGATAATCGTCAGAGTTGCTTTTTTGTAAATGGAAGCTGGCTAGCGGCTGCTAACTGATGCTAACTACTATGGTAGCAGACATCTTTCCTGCCCCCCGACTTAGAATTGCACAAACACCTCCCCACACTGGTCAGAATGTGGTACTGCACTGAAAATAATACACAAGCCATGTTCAGGTACCTGCCTATTTAAATCAGCAGGGGGCGCCAGAGCATAGATGCCTTCTGGGAATTTCATTTAACCTATCCAGGTGTTTCACATCATTGAAGATGAAAGGAGTAGGCCCTTCTATTTCTAGTTTGTAGAGAAACTATTACTGATTACCCATTGGTTTTGCTTTTATAGAAGTCATAAAGATAAAGTATTGCATCCTGGATTATCCTGGATTAAGCCATAAACAACACATTGGATCATGCAACTATCAACCTTTCAGCAACATGTAGTAAAATACCCGTCTGTACAATATCTGTCAAAACATCGCCCCAAATGAGGCCTAAAAAAGTACAGCAATTTGATTTGATTTGGATCTCTTTTAGCCCATCAAGGGCTACTCTTCCAAGAGTCCGTACAGCAATACAGCAATAAACAGTATGAAAATGTATGCACTCACTAACTGGATAAGAGCGTCTGCTAAATTACTAAAATGTAAAATGTAAAATAATGATTACATTTGATTTTATGGAAGTTATGCACCTTTATGTTATGCTCCTCTGTGATATTTAGAGATTTGTAACCCAGGCCCGGCCCTGGACGTTCTGCCGCTAGGCGAGACAAAAAATGGCCGCCCCCCTCCTATCCCTGCTAATCTAGAATAGTGTAACTACCGCAGCGGTCGGTAATAGGTTTGACCTTGGGACCATTTTCTTCTCAGATAATAGGCCTACGCTACAAAATAAACACAATTTTTAACATGTTTAATAGGCTTTATAAATCAGTTCAATGTCAATAACATAGCCTAATATTTTCAATCTGATTACACTAATAAAATCACCAATGTCTCTTTTATATTCGTTTTTTATATTTATTTGTGTGTTTTTTTTATTGGGGATAAACAGCTTGCAATCAAGAGAAAATGTCGCTTTGAAAAAGTCTCAAAAGAAAGGTGGATAATGAAAATGGAAGTTTTCAGGGAAGAATGGACAGAGACATAGGCATTCTTACCATATTTCTCCAATGTCAAACCAGAGCAGTGGCAACACATCATTTTGGTGCCTGTTTTGCATGTTATTTTGGCATTAATACATGTCACTTATCAGTTTGCAAACAATGTAACAAATAGAGTTAATAGGATAAAAACCAGTTTTACACCACAAAACACCAGAAAAGGGCCAAAAGAGTAGAACCAGTTCACCTGCTTTTTACACTATGATTTGACTATATATGTTCAATGTTTCATTTGAAAATATTATTTAAAAATGAATAATCTCACCATATTAAAACGATAGTTCTGTTCACATAACTTGACCTTAAAATGAGGGAGTTCGTCATTTTTTTTATACATTAAAATGAATCACTAATCACATGAAATAAATAACACTCTTTAAAAATGACTGTCAAAGCAACAAAATAACTAGGGCTTTACTTGTAACCAAGTTAAGTGGGTTAAAACCATCCTAGAAGGATGCACAGAGGGACATGTCAGAATGATGAATTTTGGCACTTGATCAAGTCTTTAATCTTAGAAAAAATCGGAATTATTCAATTTTAGATGTGTTCTATATTAAAGGCCTCTTCATGTAATATAATTAGATTTTAAAATGCAATATTTGTGCACAATTTCTACATAAAATATCAAAAGGACGCAAAAGAAACTCATTTCGTGGAACAACACTAATAAGGATTACATTTTATTTGATTGAAGTTTTATGGAAGTAGTGGAAGATAAGCCTTAATATACTGTATATTTTGTCCAGCTACATAACTGATTTCAAAGATCAAAGTTGAATGTTAAAACAGGGCAATTACTGTATATCATTTGGGCCAGTAAGTACAATTGTATACTGAACTAAGTGCATAGTTTACCATTTAAAACATTATATATACTGCAGTTCATTCTCTTTGTTGGAAATTAAATGAGAGCAATGTCTACGGTCAGTCACCTATACATGTCGGTATAAGCTTTCAATGTGTGTGTTTCTGTTTGCTGAAATGGAAAGCAGAGTGCAAGCATTACGTGGAGGTGAACATTGGTTTTATGGCACCCAACCCACTGCACTGCAAGATAAAGGTAAGGACATGGATATAAAGCCAGGGTGTTTACTCACTTGTCCAGGAAACTCAGAGACAGCCACAAGAAATCAGATTCCTGCTCAACTATGAAGTAAGTACTCCTTAAATAAATAAAATCAACAACAGAAAACAGCAGATTCAATAGAACTCAATGTTAACAAACTCAATTTAGATTAGGGATAGACTTGTGTCACATTAACATTAATCTTGATGCTTAATAAAAAGTTTCCTGTTTCCAACCCTTGTCTTAACCAGCCCTGCTCAGACAGCCCTGAAGACTAAACTGGAGAAGCTGGAGTGTCACTTCACCTGGGACTGGAAGTCAGCAGGTACCAGCTGCTCCTTCTCAGAGATCACCTGGAGGACATTGGCAGTGACCAGAGCTTTCCATGGCTGGGTCAGATGTACAACTTGTGGGCTTACATACACCACACCCTGGGCTCCACTGATGCAGCCCTGCAGTGCCTCAGTAAGGCAGAGGAGGCCTTTTACCTAAACAGTCCTTCAGACAAGATGGGTCCTTGGCTGCTGGTCCACTATGGGAACCTAGCCTGGGTGCACTATCACCTGGATAACCAGGCGGAGAGCCACGGTGCGTGACAAAGGTTGAGGGACTGCTACGAGATTACCCCTCGCCTTCCCAGGAAGAACCTGCAACCCCGAGGGTGTGTGCTGAAAAAGCCTGGACCCTCATGAAGTTTGACCAGGACAAACGACTGAAAGCGATAGATTACTTTCAAATGGCTATTAGATGGAACCTGAGAGAAAGGAGTGGCAATCAAGCCATGCCTTGGCCCTAGACTCAGTTTATCCTTTTCATCCGACAACCAACAGAAGGAGTCTGAGGGTTTTAAAGGAGCTGAGACTTGCCAAGGAAAACGATCCCGACAACTTGTATGTAGCAAGTATCTACCTGTTAAGACTGGCAAGGACGAGCCAGGTCAGAAGTGAGGAAGCGCGACAGCTAGCGCAGACATTTTAAAGAAGCCCGTCAGCTGCTACAGTGGTCTTAGACCCTTTCTTCAGTTTTACAGGACATATTTATCAACAATTTAAGCTATTGACCTAGCAGCCGAGGCTCTGGAAAGACATCCAATGTTCGCTACCTGAAAAACATCTAGCGAATTCCTACCAAAAGGAAAATCTACTCAAAGGAGGACAGTCTGAGGAGGAAGAGCATGTAAAGACAGAGCCATCAGTCTCTATATGGATGTGATCTCACTCTATCCAGAGAACATCACTAAAGGTCAAACTGGAGCTTGCAAGCATCTATGCAGAATCAGACATTGACAGGAGGGAACTAGCCAAGCAGATCTATGAAGAAATTTCGCCAGCGAGCAGGATCCACACAACTACAGTTACTCTACTTCCATTACGCTAGATACCTGAATTTCCACATCCAGGATCGCAATGCATCAATTGATTTTCACATGAAAGGCAGCAGAAATACCAAATCCTAACAAAAACGGTAAAAGAGTACGACATCTTGAGGAGGATTGGACAACGGGGAAGAAATCGAAGATGTGCAGAAATCTGTGAATTTCTCGAAAAACCCTTTTTTCTCACAGAATGAATAACAGCAAGGAGGGGAATTAACCAATCAGAAGTCACCAAATTGAGGGGAGCCATATTGTACATACAATGTCTTGGTTTCGGGTCTTTTTGGGGTCTTTTAGGCCAGGTTGTTTTCTAAGCAAATTGTGACAAATGTTTCTGTTGTTGTTGAAAGTGCCATGCAAATAAAAATATTTACTGAATTTTGTTTAATTTTTTTTTGACAAAATAATTCCTCATGACCATAACACTGTTTTTCGTAAAATTTCCAATGGGGGCAAAATAAGTTATTTATATAAGTGTGAGAACACTTTCGTGTGTAAAATCACAGCATTCACACATTCAGACGAGGACAAAATATGCATTCACAGACATCCAAACAAATCGACCATTTCCACACTTATTCTTAAAAATGAGGCATTTCACATTACATCTCTACAAGGGAAGCACAGCCGCGAGCTGCCCAGTGACACAAGCCTACCAGACGAGCTAAACCACTTCTATGCTCGCTTCGAGCAAGCAAAACACTGAAGCAGCATAGAGCACCAGCTGTTCCGGATGATAAAGTGATCACGCTCTCCGTAGCGTGTGAGTAAGACTTTTAAGCAGGTCAACATTCACAAGGCCGCAGGGCCAGACGGATTACCAGGACGTGTACTCCGAGCAGTGCTGACCAATGGCAAGTGTCTTCACTGACATTTTCAAAATGTCCTGGACTGAAATCTGTAATACCAACATGTTTCAAGCAGACCACCATAGTCCCCCCGTGCCCAAGGACTCTAAGATAACCTGCCTAAATGACTACCGACCCGTAGCACTGACGTCTGTAGCCATGAAATGCTTTGAAAGGTGGTCATGGCTCACTCAAAAGCATTATCCCCGAAACCCTAGACCCACTCCAATTTGCATACCCCCCCAACAGATCCACAGATGATGCATCTCTATTGCACTCCACACTGCCCTTTCCCACCTGGACAAGAGAACCCTACGTGAGAATGCTATTCATTGACTACAGCTCAGCATTCAACACCATAGCCCCTAAGCTCATAAATAAGCTAAGGATCCTGGGACTAAACACCTCCTCTGCAACGGATCCCGGACTTCCTGACGGCCGCCCCAGGTGGTAAGGGTAAGGTAACAACACATCTGCCACACTGATCCTCAACACGGGGGCCCCCCAGGGGTGCGTGCTCAGTCCCCCCTGCTCCCGTTCACCCCGCGATGGCAGGGACGACTCAAAACCATCATTTGTTTGCCGGAACAACATGGTAGGGCCCGTATGGTTTTCATTTACAAGCCATAAAGTTTATGCAGTGTTGAGGAATGTGAAAGAACACCCTTGATTATTTTTACTGTGATAACTTATTTTGCTTTTGTAAGCCAACACTTTTGAGATCAGTCAATAAATGCTTCTGGTATTGACTTATATGCTGCCCCTGTCTTCATGTTGTTGCTGGACATATCTTTTTAAAAATGTGTGTAGGTCACCTAAATCATCAGAAAAATTGCCCCTCCTGAGAATTTTTTCAGGAGCCGCCACTGATCTGATTGCATAAACAAATCAAGTTAAATTGTAGTAGCTATGTAGCTAGTAATAATTCAATACTTACGCCGGATAATCGTCAGAGTTGCTTTTTTGTAAATGGAAGCTGGCTAGCGGCTGCTAACTGATGCTAACTACTATGGTAGCAGACATCTTTCCTGCCCCCCGACTTAGAATTGCACAAACACCTCCCCACACTGGTCAGAATGTGGTACTGCACTGAAAATAATACACAAGCCATGTTCAGGTACCTGCCTATTTAAATCAGCAGGGGGCGCCAGAGCATAGATGCCTTCTGGGAATTTCATTTAACCTATCCAGGTGTTTCACATCATTGAAGATGAAAGGAGTAGGCCCTTCTATTTCTAGTTTGTAGAGAAACTATTACTGATTACCCATTGGTTTTGCTTTTATAGAAGTCATAAAGATAAAGTATTGCATCCTGGATTATCCTGGATTAAGCCATAAACAACACATTGGATCATGCAACTATCAACCTTTCAGCAACATGTAGTAAAATACCCGTCTGTACAATATCTGTCAAAACATCGCCCCAAATGAGGCCTAAAAAAGTACAGCAATTTGATTTGATTTGGATCTCTTTTAGCCCATCAAGGGCTAGTCTTCCAAGAGTCCGTACAGCAATACAGCAATAAACAGTATGAAAATGTATGCACTCACTAACTGGATAAGAGCGTCTGCTAAATTACTAAAATGTAAAATAATGATTACATTTGATTTTATGGAAGTTATGCACCTTTATGTTATGCTCCTCTGTGATATTTAGAGATTTGTAACCCAGGCCCGGCCCTGGACGTTCTGCCGCTAGGCGAGACAAAAAATGGCCGCCCCCCTCCTATCCCTGCTAATCTAGAATAGTGTAACTACCGCAGCGGTCGGTAATAGGTTTGACCTTGGGACCATTTTCTTCTCAGATAATAGGCCTACGCTACAAAATAAACACAATTTTTAACATGTTTAATAGGCTTTATAAATCAGTTCAATGTCAATAACATAGCCTAATATTTTCAATCTGATTACACTAATAAAATCACCAGTCTCTTTTATATTCGTTTTTTATATTTATTTGTGTGTTTTTTTTATTGGGGATAAACAGCTTGCAATCAAGAGAAAATGTCGCTTTGAAAAAGTCTCAAAAGAAAGGTGGATAATGAAAATGGAAGTTTCAGGGAAGAATGGACAGAGACATGGGCATTCTTACCATATTTCTCCAATGTCAAACCAGAGCAGTGGCAACACATCATTTTGGTGCCTGTTTTGCATGTTATTTTGGCATTAATACATGTCACTTATCAGTTTGCAAACAATGTAACAAATAGAGTTAATAGGATAAAAACCAGTTTTACACCACAAAACACCAGAAAAGGGCCAAAAAGAGTAGAACCAGTTCACCTGCTTTTTACACTATGATTTGACTATATATGTTCAATGTTTCATTTGAAAATATTATTTAAAAATGAATAATCTCACCATATTAAAACGATAGTTCTGTTCACATAACTTGACCTTAAAATGAGGGAGTTCTTGTCATTTTTTTTATACATTAAAATGAATCACTAATCACATGAAATAAATAACACTCTTTAAAAATGACTGTCAAAGCAACAAAATAACTAGGGCTTTACTTGTAACCAAGTTAAGTGGGTTAAAACCATCCTAGAAGGATGCACAGAGGGACATGTCAGAATGATGAATTTTGGCACTTGATCAAGTCTTTAATCTTAGAAAAAATCGGAATTATTCAATTTTAGATGTGTTCTATATTAAAGGCCTCTTCATGTAATATAATTAGATTTTAAAATGCAATATTTGTGCACAATTTCTACATAAAATATCAAAAGGACGCAAAAGAAACTCATTTCGTGGAACAACACTAATAAGGATTACATTTTATTTGATTGAAGTTTTATGGAAGTAGTGGAAGATAAGCCTTAATATACTGTATATTTTGTCCAGCTACATAACTGATTTCAAAGATCAAAGTTGAATGTTAAAACAGGGCAATTACTGTATATCATTTGGGCCAGTAAGTACAATTGTATACTGAACTAAGTGCATAGTTTACCATTTAAAACATTATATATACTGCAGTTCATTCTCTTTGTTGGAAATTAAATGAGAGCAATGTCTACGGTCAGTCACCTATACATGTCGGTATAAGCTTTCAATGTGTGTGTTTCTGTTTGCTGAAATGGAAAGCAGAGTGCAAGCATTACGTGGAGGTGAACATTGGTTTTATGGCACCCAACCCACTGCACTGCAAGATAAAGGTAAGGACATGGATATAAAGCCAGGGTGTTTACTCACTTGTCCAGGAAACTCAGAGACAGCCACAAGAAATCAGATTCCTGCTCAACTATGAAGTAAGTACTCCTTAAATAAATAAAATCAACAACAGAAAACAGCAGATTCAATAGAACTCAATGTTAACAAACTCAATTTAGATTAGGGATAGACTTGTGTCACATTAACATTAATCTTGATGCTTAATAAAAAGTTTCCTGTTCCAACCCTTGTCTTAACCAGCCCTGCTCAGACAGCCCTGAAGACTAAACTGGAGAAGCTGGAGTGTCACTTCACCTGGGGACTGGAAGTCAGCAGGTACCAGCTGCTCCTTCTCAGAGATCACCTGGAGGACATTGGCAGTGACCAGAGCTTTCCATGGCTGGGTCAGATGTACAACTTGTGGGCTTACATACACCACACCCTGGGCTCCACTGATGCAGCCCTGCAGTGCCTCAGTAAGGCAGAGGAGGCCTTTTACCTAAACAGTCCTTCAGACAAGATGGGTCCTTGGCTGCTGGTCCACTATGGGAACCTAGCCTGGGTGCACTATCACCTGGATAACCAGGCGGAGAGCCAGCGGTGCGTGACAAAGGTTGAGGGACTGCTACGAGATTACCCCTCGCCTTCCCAGGAAGAACTGCACCCCGAGGTGTGTGCTGAAAAAGCCTGGACCCTCATGAAGTTTGACCAGGACAAACGACTGAAAGCGATAGATTACTTTCAAATGGCTATTAGGATGGAACCTGAGAGAAAGGAGTGGCAATCAAGCCATGCCTTGGCCCTAGACTCAGTTTATCCTTTTCATCCAGACAACCAACAGAAGGAGTCTGAGGTTCTAAAGGAGCTGAGACTTGCCAAGGAACACGATCCAGACAACTTGTATGTAGCAAGTATCTACCTGTTAAGACTTGGCAGGACGAGCCAGGTCAGAAGTGAGGAAGCGCGACAGCTAGCGCAGCACATTTTAAAGAAGCCTGTCAGCTGCTACAGTGGTCTTAGACCCTTACTTCAGTTTTACAGGACATATTTATCACACAATGAAGCTATTGACCTAGCAGCCGAGGCTCTGGAAAGACATCCAAATGTTCGCTACCTGAAAAAACATCTAGCGAATTCCTACAAATGGAAAATCTACTCAAAGGAGGACAGTCTGAGGAGGAAGAGCATGTACGACAGAGCCATCAGTCTCTATATGGATGTGATCTCACTCTATCCAGAGACATCACTAAAGGTCAAACTGGAGCTTGCAAGCATCTATGCAGAATCAGACATTGACAGGAGGGAACTAGCCAAGCAGATCTATGAAGAATTACTCGCCAGCGAGCAGGATCCACACAACTTACAGTTACTCTACTTCCATTACGCTAGATACCTGAATTTCCACATCCAGGATCGCAATGCATCAATTGATTTTCACATGAAGGCAGCAGAAATACCAAATCCTAACAAATACGGTAAAAAGAGTATCGACATCTTGAGGAGGATTGGACAACGGGGAAGAAATCGAAGATGTGCAGAAATCTGTGAATTTCTCGAAAACCTTTCTTCTCACAGAATGAATAACAGCAAGGAGGAGAATTAACCAATCAGAAGTCAACCAAATTGAGGGAGCCATATTGTACATACAATGTCTTGGTTTTCTGCTCTTTGGGCTCTTTTAGGCCAGGTTGTTGCTAAGCAAATTGTGACAAATGTTTTCTGTTGTTGTTGAAAGTGCCATGCAAATAAACTATTGACTGAATTTTGTTAATTTTTTTTTGACAAAATAATTCCTCATGACCATAACACTGTTTTTCGTAATATTTCCAATGGGGGCAAAATAAGTTATTTATATAAGTGTGAGAAACACTTTCAGTGTGTAACTCACAGCATTCACACATTCAGACGAGGACAACATATGCATTCACAGACATCCAAACCAAATCCGACCATTTCCACACTTATTCTGTAAAGATGAGGCATTTCACATTACATCTCTACAAAGGGAAGCACAGCCGCGAGCTGCCCAGTGACACAAGCCTACCAGACGAGCTAAACCACTTCTATGCTCGCTTCGAGGCAAGCAACACTGAAGCATGCATGAGAGCACCAGCTGTTCCGGATGACTATGTGATCACGCTCTCCGTAGCCGATGTGAGTAAGACTTTTAAGCAGGTCAACATTCACAAGGCCGCAGGGCCAGACGGATTACCAGGACGTGTACTCCGAGCATGTGCTGACCAACTGGCAAGTGTCTTCACTGACATTTTCAACATGTCCCTGACTGAGTCTGTAATACCAACATGTTTCAAGCAGACCACCATAGTCCCCGTGCCCAAGGACTCTAAGATAACCTGCCTAAATGACTACCGACCCGTAGCACTGACGTCTGTAGCCATGAAGTGCTTTGAAAGGCTGGTCATGGCTCACATCAACAGCATTATCCCAGAAACCCTAGACCCACTCCAATTTGCATACCGCCCCAACAGATCCACAGATGATGCAATCTCTATTGCACTCCACACTGCCCTTTCCCACCTGGACAAGAGGAACACCTACGTGAGAATGCTATTCATTGACTACAGCTCAGCATTCAACACCATAGTGCCCTCTAAGCTCATCACTAAGCTAAGGATCCTGGGACTAAACACCTCCCTCTGCAACTGGATCCTGGACTTCCTGACGGGCCGCCCCCAGGTGGTAAGGGTAGGTAACAACACATCTGCCACACTGATCCTCAACACGGGGGCCCCTCAGGGGTGCGTGCTCAGTCCCCTCCTGTACTCCCTGTTCACCCATGACTGCATGGCCAGGCACGACTCCAACACCATCATTAAGTTTGCCGACGACACAACAGTGGTAGGCCTGATCACCGACAACGATGAGACAGCCTATAGGGAGGAGGTCAGAGATCTGGCCGTGTGGTGCCAGGACAACAACCTCTCCCTCAACGTGACCAAGACAAAGGAGATGATTGTGGACTACAGGAAAAAAAAGAGGACTGAGCACGCCCCCATTCTCATCGACGGGGCTGTAGTGGAACAGGTTGAGAGCTTCAAGTTCCTTGGTGTCCACATCACCAACGAACTATCATGGTCCAAACACACCAAGACAGTCGTGAAGAGGGCACGACAAAGCCTATTCCCCCTCAGGAGACTAAAAAGATTTGGCATGGGTCCTCAGATCCTCAAAAAATTCTACAGCTGCACCATCGAGAGCATCCTGACTGGTTGCATCACCGCCTGGTATGGCAACTGCTTGGCCTCCGACCGCAAGGCACTAGAGGGTAGTGCGTACGGCCCAGTACATCACTGGGGCAAAGCTTCCTGCCATCCAGGACCTCTATACCAGGCGGTGTCAGAGGAAGGCCCTCAAAATTGTCAAAGACTCCAGCCACCCTAGTCATAGACTGTTCTCTCTGCTACCGCACGGCAAGCGGTACCGGAGTGCCAAGTCTAGGTCCAAAAGACTTCTCAACAGCTTCTACCCCCAAGCCATAAGACTCCTGAACAGCTAATCATGGCTACCCGGACTATTTGCACTGCCCCCCCACCCCATCCTTTTTACGCTGCTGCTACTCTGTTAAGTATTTATGCATAGTCACTTTAACTCTACCCACATGTACATATTACCTCAACTAGCCGGTGCGCCCGCACATTGACTCTGCAACGGTACCCCCCTGTATATATAGCCTCCCTACTGTCACTTTATTTTACTTCTGCTCTTTTTTTTTCCTCAACACTTTTTTTTGTTGTTGTTGTTTTATTTTTACTTTTTTTGTTTAAAATAAATGCACTGTTGGTTAAGGGCTGTAAGTAAGCATTTCACTGTAATGTCTGCACCTGTTGTATTTGGCGCATGTGACCAATAAAATTTGATTTGATTTGATTTTGATCTCTCAATAAGGGTCTAGTTAAAACAAATACAATTGGGATTAACAACCATTATTACCATGGTCCCTGCCTGACCTGCTTGGACTGAAAATCCATACAAGGAGACTGTGCAGACATGACATCCTCAGTCTTCATTTTCAAAACACTGAGCAAATTTATCCGCTGGTGCATAGGGTTATGGACAGCTCCATATGAGCGGCAGAGTTTAGAAATTCATTTGAGATTGACTTTAACTGCAACATGGTCTGAAAATATCAAAAAATGCAATTCGTTTCCAGATTTAAATACAAAGGGCCGGGATTTCTAAATCGCCCAAAATGTCCGGGATTTGGCTTTTGCTTTCTACAGTCGCCATTCATTGTGTGCGTTTTGGGGGTTTTGCATTGCATTGAACTTTCTCTTTAGGTCCCGCCTTCTCACACGCCACCATTGGTCGGTCATGTAGACCTACGCAAACATTGGTCAAACTGCATCTCAATCATTACCCTCACCATGGCAACAGCCAAGAGACAGCGCAGCAGCTTGCTTGTCAACAGTGGCACATGGCTCCAGAACAGCGTAAAAATGCCATAAACGCAAATGTAAATTCACAGACGATTTACAGAGAAAATTCCCGTGTTTTCGTCTTGGTCGGGATCCGTGTGAAGCAGAATGCATGACCTGCAAAGCTGGCACGTACGTGTCAGTGTCAAATAAAGGTGCTAGCGATCTAGAAGCCCACATAAACTCCGCAAAACACAAAATTGCAGGTAACGGAGAGAGTTCGTAAGGGAAATTAACTGACTATTTTGTGAGAGCAGGTAAAACAGAAGACGCTGTTACTGCTGCAGAGGGACTTTTTTCATTCCACACCACGAAGCATCACAATAGCTACAGATCAATGGACTGCACGTCTGCCTTGTTAAAAAAGTATTTCCCTGATTCCGAGACTGCGCGAACATTTTCAAGCGCTCGTACTAAGACCGATGCAATTGTTAAAGCTGTGATAGCACCACATTCTGTCGACATAGCTCTGAAAGCACTAGAAGACATACCTTACTGTGGTGTTTCTACTGATGGGAGCAATCACGGTGCTGTGGAAATATTCCCTCTGCTTATTCAGTATTTTGATTGGAAGAATGGTGGCGTGCAAAGTAAATTAGTCTAAGTTAAAAACACTCCAAATGAGACAGCTGATACGATCGCGCAATACATCAAAGAAACACTGCAAAATAATGGGATTTTTTCCAAATGTATTGCATTTACAGGTGACAACTGCAATACAATGTTCGGGGGAATCCGGAGTGATGAAGAAGGAAATAATGTTTTCGCAAACTTAAAGAAGTCATTGCAGAACAAGTCTTTAATCAGTGTGGGCTGCCCAGCACACGTCTTGAACAATTGTGTTCATTACGGGGCAGACACACTAGATGTCGATATTGAGAACATCATCTTCAAAATATGTCAATACTTTCACATCTACACTGTGCGCACAGAGAATCTGAAGGAGTACTGTGAATTTGTTGATGTTGAATACAGAAGTCTCCTTTCTCACAGCAAGACGCAATGGCAGTCATTATTCCCAGGTATTGAGAGGCTGCTACAGATGTTTCCAGCCTTGAAAGCATTATTTTTGTCACAGGAAAATAAGTTTTTTTGAAGATGAGTTCAGTGAAATGTACCTCTGGCACATGCACTAACTCATGTGTGTGTTTCATTCACACATTCAGGAGATGGAAAGGGAGAGCAATTCAATTGTGGAAGTGAATAACTTTTTGAACACACCATGCTTCTTGAACGCAAGACCAATAACTTAATGTCCCTTAAATGTAAGGTACTATTGGCACAAAAGCACAAGGATGGACTTTTCAGTGCTCAAGTACAGGGTCTGTACAGTTCATTACATTTTACTCATTTAGCAGACGCTCTTACCCCCGTGGGAATCAAACCCACAACCCTGGCGTTGCAAACGCCATGCTCTACCAACTGAGTTACATCCCTGCCGGCCATTCCCTCCCCTACCCTGGACGACGCTGGTCCAATTGTGCACCGCCGCATGGGTCTCCCGGTCGGGGCCGGCTACGACAGAGCCTGGATTAGAACCAGGATCTCTAGTGGCACAGATAGCACTGCGATGCAGTGCCTTAGACCACTGCGCCACTCGGGAGGTGCCTGGAGTATCTGGAGAAATGGATGGCACCCATGGAGGAGTTCTCCTCTTTCATGTGGATGGATCTGAGTGAGACACCTGACTGGAATGACATAGAAGCCTGTATCAAACACCTGGGAGAAAAGGGGGTGCCAATTGATGATGCAAAGTGCTTTGATCAGGTCACCAACCTAAAGAAATTCACAGAAAGGTGTAACAGTGATGGAGAGTTCAGTAATCTGCAAGCACACAAGGCGGTGACCCGATCTTGTAGGTTCATGCTCTACAACATTCAGAGAGTACGACCCTGCCTTACACAGGAAGCGGCACAGGTCCTAATCCAGGCACTTGTCATCGCCCGTCTGGATTACTGCAACTCGCTGTTGGCTGGGCTCCCTGCCTGTGCCATTAAACCCCTACAACTCATCCAGAAGGCCGCAGCCCATCTGGTGTTCAACCTTCCCAAGTTCTCTCACGTCACCCCGCTCCTCCGCACACTCCACTGGCTTCCAGTTGAAGCTCGCATCTGCTACAAGACCATGGTGCTTGCCTACGGAGCTGTGAGGGGAACGGCACCTCCGTACCTTCAGGATCTGATCAGTCCCGACACCCAAACGAGGGCATTGCGTTCATCCTCCTCTGGCCTGCTGGCCCCCCTACCTCTGCGGAAGCACAGTTCCCGCTCAGCCCAGTCAAAACTGTTCGCTGCTCTGGCACCCCAAAGGTGGAACAAGCTCCCTCACGACGCCAGGACAGCGGAGTCACTCACCACCTTCCGGAGACACTTGAAACCTCACCTCTTTAAGGAATACCTGGGATTGGATAAAGTAATCCTTCTACCCCCCCCCTTACCCCACCCCAAAGAAAAAAAGAAAAAAAACATATTGTAAAGGGGTTATCCCACTGGCTATAAGGTGAATGCACCAATTTGTAAATCGCTCTGGATAAGAGCGTCTGCTAAATAACGTAAATGTAAGTGGACCAAATATTTATAAAGGTCCAAAAGCATAGATTTTCATTCAGAGCTACTGAAGATTGCACAGTTTTTCTTTGCTATTCCTTCTCACAATGGAAATGTAGAGAGTTTTTTCACTGATGCAAAGCCAGTGGACAAAGGAATCACTTGTCTGTTGAGTCACTGAAGGGGCTTCTGTGTACACAATACAACTTTAAAAACATGTCTTGCAAAGACTTTCATGCCTACTTGATTGGTAATCAAGGACTGTTGGGAAAGATTCGATCTTTGGGAAAGTATACCAGAGAGCATCAGGAGGACTGACATTATTTTTGACTGAAATAGTGGATTTTTTTATGACAACTGTTTTTTAAAATGTTATTTTAACCTATGGCAATGAAAAGAAAGTGTCATGTAAAAGGTGTTAAAAGCTAAACTATTTTTTTGTTTTTGTTTGTTATTATTCTATTGTTGAGGGCCAACAGTTGAATGGAAAGGATGTATTACTTTATGTATTAAAGTTCAATAACATAGTTGCATGGTTGTGAACGCATTTGTATTTACCACCCACTGCGGGTGACCGTCTGCCTCCCGCTCCCACTGTCCTCTTTTTTGAAAACTAAAATATGGTCACCCTAAATAATCTCGCTCTTATCCATAATAATCTCATCATGTAGGTAGCCTACCCACACTGTATCCGCAAGCTGTTAGCTAGAGCGCATGCGCCAAAGCCAGAGTGGGTCCATTTGCTATATAACGCCATAGTTTTTGTGACAAAACCATCAGTAGAGTTGAGAATGCGATGGAAACCAATTGAACTTGTTTTTCTGTACATGGGAATTTAACAGCAAAATAAATCTTTATGTGCACTACATCATCCCTCACAGCCTTTTATCTGCAATAAGTCCATTTGATGGAAACACAGATTTTAGAATATTCACATGAAAATCTGTCACCAATTGGATGGAAACCTAGCTACTCTCATTAAAAAGCATATTTCATATGCTGGTATTCACAGACAATTTAACTACACCAAGAATATGCTGTAATATACTGTATATCTTATCCAGCTACATACTTGATTTCAAAGATCAAAGTTGAATGTTAAAACAGGGCAATTACTGTATATCATTTGGGCCAGTAAGTACAATTGTATACTGAACTAAGTGCATAGTTTACCATTTAAAACATTATATATACTGCAGTTCATTCTCTTTGTTGGAAATTAAATGAGAGCAATGTCTACGGTCAGTCACCTATACATTTAACTTTTTACATTTTAGTGATTTAGCAGACGCTCTTATCCAGAGCGACTTACATGAGCAATTAGGGTTAAGTGCCTTGCTTAAGGGCACATCAACAGATTTTTCACCTTGTCGGCTCGGGGATTAGAACCAGCGACCTTTCGGTTACTGGCACAACGCTCTTACCCACTAAGCTACCTGCCGCCCCCTGGCTTTATATCCATGTCCTTACCTTTATCTTGCAGTGCAGTGGGTTGGGTGCCATAAAACCAATGTTCACCTCCACGTAATGCTTGCACTCTGCTTTCCTTTTCAGCATGTCGGTATAAGCATTCAATGTGTGTGTTTCTGTTTGCTGAAATGGAAAGCAGAGTGCAAGCATTACGTGGAGGTGAACATTGGTTTTATGGCACCCAACCCACTGCACTGCAAGATAAAGGTAAGGACATGGATATAAAGCCAGGGTGTTTACTCACTTGTCCAGGAAACTCAGAGACAGCCACAAGAAATCATATTCCTGCTCAACTATGAAGTAAGTACTCCTTAAAAAAATAAAATCAACTACAGAAAACAGCAGATTCAATAGAACTCAATGTTAACAAACTCAATTTAGATTAGGGATAGACTTGTGTCACATTAACTCTTGATCTTGATGCTTAATAGTTTCTAAAAAGTTTCCTGTTCCAACCCTTGTCTTAACCAGCCCTGCTCAGACAGCCCTGAAGACTAAACTGGAGAAGCTGGAGTGTCACTTCACCTGGGGACTGGAAGTCAGCAGGTACCAGCTGCTCATTCTCAGAGATCACCTGGAGGACATTGGCAGTGACCAGAGCTTTCCATGGCTGGGTCAGATGTACAACTTGTGGGCTTACATACACCACACCCTGGGCTCCACTGATGCAGCCCTGCAGTGCCTCAGTAAGGCAGAGGAGGCCTTTTACCTAAACAGTCCTTCAGACAAGATGGGTCCTTGGCTGCTGGTCCACTATGGGAACCTAGCCTGGGTGCACTATCACCTGGATAACCAGGCGGAGAGCCAGCGGTGCGTGACAAAGGTTGAGGGACTGCTACGAGATTACCCCTCGCCTTCCCAGGAAGAACTGCACCCCGAGGTGTGTGCTGAAAAAGCCTGGACCCTCATGAAGTTTGACCAGGACAAAAGACTGAAAGCGATAGTTTACTTTCAAATGGCTATTAGGATGGAACCTGAGAGAATGGAGTGGCAATCAAGCCATGCCTTGGCCCTAGACTCAGTTTATCCTTTTCATCCAAACAACCAACAGAAGGAGTCTGAGGTTCTAAAGGAGCTGAGACTTGCCAAGGAACACGATCCAGACAACTTGTATGTAGCAAGTATCTACCTGTTAAGACTTGGCAGGACGAGCCAGGTCACAAAGGAGGAAGCGCAACAGCTAGCGCAGCACATTTTAAAGAAGCCTGTCAGCTGCTACAGTGGTCTTAGACCCTTACTTCAGTTTTACAGGACATATTTATCACACAATGAAGCTATTGACCTAGCAGCCGAGGCTCTGGAAAGACATCCAAATGTTCGCTACCTGAAAAAACATCTAGCGAATTCCTACAAATGGAAAATCTACTCAAAGGAGGACAGTCTGAGGAGGAAGAGCATGTACGACAGAGCCATCAGTCTCTATATAGATGTGATCTCACTCTATCCAGAGACATCACTAAAGGTCAAACTGGAGCTTGCAAGCATCTATGCAGAATCAGACATTGACAGGAGGGAACTAGCCAAGCAGATCTATGAGGAATTACTCGCCAGCGAGCAGGATCCACACAACTTACAGTTACTCTACTTCAATTACGCTAGTTACCTGCATTTCCACATCCAGGATCGCAATGCATCAATTGATTTTCACATGAAGGCAGCAAAAATACCTAATCCTAACAAATACGGTAAAAAGAGTATCGACATCTTGAGGAGGATTGGACAACGGGGAAGAAATCGAAGATGTGCAGAAATCTGTGAATTTCTCGAAAACCTTTCTTCTCACAGAATGAATAACAGCAAGGAGGAGAATTAACCAATCAGAGGTCAACCAAATTGAGGGAGCCATATTGTACATACAATGTCTTGGTTTTCTGCTCTTTGGGCTCTTTTAGGCCAGGTTGCTGCTAAGCAAATTGTGACAAATGTTTTCTGTTGTTGTTGAAAGTGCCATGCAAATAAACTATTGATTGAATTTTGTTCATTTTTTTTTGACAAAATAATTCCTCATGACCATAACACTGTGTTTCTTGTAATATTTCCAATGGGGACAAAATAAGTTATTTATATAAGTGTGAGAAACACTTTCAGTGTGTAACTCACAGCATTCACACATTCAGACGAGGACAACATATGCATTCACAGACATCCAAACCAAATCCGACCATTTCCACACTTATTCTGTAAAGATGAGGCATTTCACATTACATCTCTCAATAAGGGTCTAGTTAAAACAAATACAATTGGGATTAACAACCATTATTACCATGGTCCCTGCCTGACCTGCTTGGACTGAAAATACATACAAAGAGACTGTGCAGACATGACATCCTCAGTCTTCATTTTCAAAACACTGAGCAAATTTATCCGCTGGTGCATAGGCTTGTAGACAGCTGCATACGAGCTGCAGATTTAAGAAATACAATTCAGATTGATTCTTTTTGCAACATGTTCTGAAAATATCTAAAAATGCAATCAGTTTCTAAAATGAAATACAAACACCAAGGGTTCCATATGTAACAGTGTTGCTTCCGTCCCTCTTCTCGCCCCTACCTGGGCTTTAACCAGGGACCCTCTGCACACATCGACAACAGTCACCCTCGAAGCACCGTTACCCATCTCTCCACAAAAGCCGCGGTTGCTCCACAAAAGCCACGGCCCTTGCAGAGCAAGGGAAACAACTACTTCAAGGTCTCAGAGTGAGTGACGTCACCGATTGAAACGCTACTAGTGCGCACCGCTAACTAGCTAGCCATTTCACACCGGTTACACATACACACATACAATTTGAACACATTAACGTCCAAGTCAAAAAAGGAAATATTCCTGTGTTCAATGGATTGTAGTTGAATTGAAGATTAATTGACTTCTACCATTGATAAAATGTACAGTTTACTACAGGAAGCTGAGGGTTTAAACCAGGGGTTTGAAACTCATTCCACAGACAGCCTAGTGCCCGTTGGTTTTTCCTTTCAGTTAAGACCTAGATAACCAGGTGAGGGGAGTTCCTTACTAATCAGTGACCTTAATTCATCAATCAAGTACAAGGGGGGAGGGAAAACCCGCAGACACTCGGCCCTCAGTGGAACGGGTTTGACACGTGGTCTAAACAGACGACATACTACCAGAGTGGATAAGGCTAATATGGTTGTGGATGCCTTTTGGGAACTTCATGAAAGAAAGGAGTTGGTCTAGAGGAGTGGAAACCCTTATTGACATCCCAAAGCTTAATTCCCTTCTGATGTTGGGTCAGTGTTGGTCTGTCTACGAGTTGAGTTCTATTTTCTAGACTAGAGAAACTATTACTGATTAGCCATTGCATTGTTTCACTTTCATTGAAGTCATAAAGATAAAGTTTTGCCATAAACACACTGGATCACACAACAAAGGTCCTTATGTTTAAAACATTGAGAAACTTTATCCACTGGTGCATAGGGTTATGGACAGCTCCATATGAGCTGCAGATTTTAGAAATACATTTGAGATTGACTTTTACTGCAACATGGTCTGAAAATATCAAAAAATGCAATTCGTTTCCAGATTTAAATACAAAGGGCCGGAATTTCTAAATCGCCCAAAATGTCCGGGGATTTGGCTTCTGCTTTCTACAGTCGCCATTCATTGTGTGCGTTTTGGGGTTTCCGCATTGCATTGACCTTTCTCTTTAGGTCCCGCCTTCTCACACGCCACCATTGGTCGGTCATGTAGGCCTACGCAAACATTGGTCAAACTGCAACTTAATCATTACCCTCACCATGGCAACAGCCAAGAGACAGAGCAGCAGCTTGCTTGTCAACAGTGGCACATGGCTCCAGAACAGCGTAAAAATGCCCAAACGCAAATGTAAATTCACAGACGATTTAGAGAAAATTCCCGTGTTTTCGTCTTGGTCAGGATCCGTGTGAAGCAGAATGCATGACCTGCAAAGCTGGCACATACGTGTCAGTG